CCAGCGGGTTCCGCACGAAGTATCTCGAACCTCTCTGACTACAACGAATCGCTGGATTCGCTTGACTCGATTGAGTGCACGTTAAAAATATCTGAGAAGGGCACAACCGCGAATATTTCGTCACGACTTGCGAATGCTTCCAGAAAGGAAGGCGAAACAGCTACCGCTATTTCGACTGACCGGCCGATGACCTTTTAGGCCTGGAAGTGTCTGGTGTTTGACTTTGCTTCAGACTGGTCTTATCTTCTGCTGAAGCCTAGAGGCTGGTGCGGCATCGCAAACGTTCGAGACAGTATCTGACGTTGCTGTTGCTGCTACCCTATTGTATGGCAGTTGTAGAAACTGCCTGTCTCAGTGACTGAATGAGTTTTTGTCAACGCTCAAGCTTCTAAAAAGGTCTCTGCCGCTCGTATGCTATCTTTTCTGAAGAGACCCTCAATCGGTCATCGACTGGTAGGCAATTCCGTACTTTGCCTATGTATTACATTCTACGACTTAAATGTGAGAGTGAATGTCTAAGGTGACGAATCGTGATGGCCAGCGTTTGAGTATCGGCCATAATGAGAAAAACCAGCAACAGTTGATGGCACATTTTCAATTTTGATGGCAATAGAGAGCGTTGCTGACAGTACTCTGACAGAGTTTCACGATTTCAGTAGAAGAGTAACTTTCTGACTGTATGTTATGTTTTTTTCAGAATAATTGGCATCGTTTCTGTCTTCGATATTAAATTTAGATGCGTCTGTATATTTGCCTATGGAGAGGGTAAATTTTGCTACTGCTCGAATACACCCTTATTCAGCCAATCTCAGAGATGTAGCCTTCCATCCTGTGTACTGTAGGCGCTTAGATACAATGACCTACCTGAATGGTTCTCCTTGACCACTTGATGCAAGAGAGATGCGTTTTTGTCCCGTACCTCCCGTATCAGTAAATGAAGTGTAGTATTTACTGCAGAATCTGAAAGCTGTCGTTACTGTTATCTACCCTAGAATTGGGAAGTTATTTGTTTTTCTACAACCTCTTTATGCCTCTAATGCTCTTTTTTCAGAATGACGTATACAGTACACTCGTGCAAATGTTTAGCGTACTCTGTGATACTATACTCCAAGAGAAACACGGTTGCATACTCATACTACAAGTGATTGGTCGCAGCTGAACTCGTCATTGGAAGTTTTAATCGGGTGTCCGAAAATTTCTCTGAAGTAGAATTGAAAAATCGGAAACGAATTACTAACCAAGGACAGAATCGATGAGAGTTTTAAGGCTAGCCTGTTCAGTTTGCTCTAAATAATGTTTCACTCCACATGAATTGCAGTTAACATGGTTAAGTACCGCTTATAATTATAATTTTTGTATATTCATCAAACAGTACCAGTACCATTCTGATTCGTATTGAGTGTTTACTTTTTAGGCAGTTAAATTCGCACTTGTTAACTATTTTCAAATGGACGACTCTGAAGCGGAAATGACTGTTCAGGGCGATTTAACTCATTTCAAGGATTTGTCTGACTCTTCGCGCAATACGTTGTAGTTGTTGGATTGTACTGAGAGGTAGCACCGTACACGTCGTTTTGTATTGTATCTTACTGTTGACAGTTGAATAATTGTTTTCGTTTATTGATTCGCTGCTTTATTTTGCTGTCGTTGAATATTTTGCTTTCATTATTAATTGTATATTAATTAGCTTCCACTAGTAAAGACTCTATGCATTTTACTATTGATTTTGATTAAAATGCAATTGTCGGTGATTCTTTATTGAGTATTATGCTATCATCGTCATCTAGGTGATCGGGGTCAAAGATGAAATACCCTGATTAATGATGTCTGATGCTTTGGCTTCAAAGAACGATTTAAGTAATGTTAGATGTTGCAACGAAAGTCATGTCTTTCGTCACAAGCAAGTCTGCCTCTAACAGCTGCTTTAGGGTGCAATATTAGCCTCTGACGTTCTTGCTGCCATTTTTTACTACTTGTAGGAGAATGGTGTTGGATAATTCTCCGTCCTCGCTGCAGATTGTTCTGTTAAAACTTGGCAGATGCTAGTTTTTCGTTCTTTCAGACAGCATTTTCAGACCGGTGTTGTCGAAGATTTTCATTTTTTATTAGAT